CTCCGCCAGGCTGGATTGAACCCATATGCTGCGCAAGCGATTTTGGCATTCCTCAGACGAGAAGACGAAGAAGAGAGGGCTTATATACGCTACACGTCCCGTACGGCCGCCAGTCCCAGCTCTGGGGAGGACAGGGGTCGGCAAGGTCTGGCTAGGTTTATCGAGATGGCGCCAGATCGAAGAAGAGCAGTTTTCGGTGAGCTCATAGGTGACAGGATGATGGGGCGAATCAACCATATTCTCGACAAAGACTGGCAGTGTGACTGGGCTCTTAACTTTGACGCTGATGTGGAACTATGAAATCACCTCTGTAGCTAAGCTGGTCCTAAGAATAAGCCGGTATTGCTGAGGCGGAGAACAATTCCAACCTTTGTGGATAAAAACTAGAGTCAACGTACTGGACACCGGCTTGAGAGGAGATTTATCATATCTGATATTACTCGTTTTCATCACTCCTGAATCGGCGTGATTCATGACGATTGCTAAATTTAGAAGTACATCCATAGTAGTATGCTGGAGAAGACAAGGTCGTTTCACGCTTTATAACAACAAATGTGCGGACAAAATCAGTCCAAAAAGAGACAGCGTTGGCTGTGTCATTTTTTAGACCTTGACGGTGAGGGATTTGGAATTACAATTTTTTCGAGGTGTTGTGGGAGCTCATGATTTTTGCACGGTATATAATACACAGCCTCCGACTTGGGCGTTCTCAGCTCGAGATCGAGAGGGGGAGAAAGACATAATGAAAGGGGACTCGTTCCTTTATTCGTTGATCTTGGCGAGGATCCTATCGCAGAGGTCAGTACAATTTCATCAAGGAGCGGACATCGCTATGCTGCAAGGGAACGTACTCAGAATCCCGGAAGAGGGTGTACTCCTCTTCGCCGACCTTGATGGGGTTACCACCGAACTGTATCGCAAGGTCTGTCAGCCTCTTCATCGAAAGAGAAATCCAATGTCTGTTGTGCATCGGATCCAGGCGGAGATAAAGCATCCAGAACAACCCAATACGTACCTGAGGGATGAGAACCTTGTCACCAGCGGAAACGCTCATGGGGATTCTCTGGCCGTTGCGGTCAACGGCGCCGGGACCGACGGCAAGGACCTTGGCCTCGTTCTGCTCCTTGACGCTGCTCTCGGGGAGGAAGATACCGGAGGCAGTCTTGGGCTCGGGCTTGATGCGCTGGACGAGGACACGGTCCAGGAGGGGAGCGAGGCTCTTGATGTTGCGGAGGACAGACTGATCGACGGAAGAGAACAAAGTTAGCGACATGTACCAATGAGCCAGACAAACAAGACCACGACATAGTTGATAGCAGCAATAGTCACGACGAGGGTACTCCAGGTCCCGGGACAGGTAAAAACACGTACCATTTTGTATGAAGATGTGAGGAGAATAGTGCGAGACTCGTTGATTCAGTTTAATTGAGCAGGGATGAAGAAATGTATCAAGGGCAAGGCGTGGAGAGTACGAAAGAAAAGAAGATGTTCGGCCAGCTCGTCTGGGGGAAGAAGATCTGGACTCGCCGGGCCGCGAGAAATTTCCAGAATGCCAAGACCGGAGAGCTTCCATCAACACTGCCGAGGGTATCAAGTCGAATGCTTTTGCTTTTTCATCTTTTGCATGATATACGATGAAATGGACTTATTTGCTGTGTTTTGAGAAAGTGGGTTGATTCATCTGGCCTGTGTTTGCAATGTTGACTTTACAATGGAGGCCCAATGCCAGTCTGCAGCTCAGTCGCCTGCGACAGCTCCTTTTCCCCGAATTTCTAGCTGCGGATAGCTTAAGCTCATGGTCTTAAAGATCATGCTCAGTGGTATGGTTAACACTGACTGTATACAAATGAACGCCACCAGATCCGACCCATTATTCCGAGTGCTACTGACCCAGAAAATCGAACATTACAACACGGTAATAGAAGACATGGATCCTTAGCTCTACCATCTTCTTCCTCGTCCTCGGCCGCCAAACCCACCCCTCTGATCGTAACCTCCAAATCCCATATGAGGCTGGCCACCACCTTGTCCTCCAAATCCTGATCCTTGCGACTGGCCGCCGAACCCAGGCTGGCCTTGCTGCTGCCCGGCGCCAGCACCACCTTGGCCTCCCATCATCGCCTGTGCATGCTGCATGAAAGACATGGGATCCATAGATGACGGATCCATGCCTTGCGACATCATACTTGCCAGCATGCCCTGCATCATATCGGGGGGCATGTCTGGCATTCCTGGCATACCGGGCATAGCTGGCGGCGCGGTGCCAGGAGGCGCAGCAGGGCCCGGAGCTCCTGGCATTGGTGGAAGACCCATGGTCAAGAAATTCTGCATATCATCCAATTGCTTCTTCTGGTCTCCAACTTCTTTCCGTAGCTCTTGTTGTTTTAGAACGTAGCTTGCCCAGGTGAATTCATCAAATCCGTAGTTGAAATAGTCGGAGATATCTGAACCAGGTCGTCTCCATGGTTTATCGTCCTCGGTTGGAAAGTCCGTGTCCATATCTGTCAACAGGATCGGCTTACCTGTGGCGGGGTGGACAGGGTTCGCATTGACATCGATCGTCGACGCGTGCACAGGCGGGTATGCGGAGCCAGGCTTCTGAGGCACGGCTGGTCTTGCGCTGGCAGGCGCCGGAGTGGCAGCTTCGATTTTAGGCGTTACTGTAGGTGTGACGGATTTTGACACAATCGGTATGTCCGCTGATGAAGGTCTTTGGGGCTCTGCTCGTAGGTTGGCATGACGAGGATGTGGTCTGTCTCGACGTTAGATCAAATGCTATTCATCTGAGTTAGTGGAGGAATCGACAGCTTACACTTCCGAAGGCGGCGCTTCTGGAGGAGCTTCTGTGATGATATTGAAGTCATCCTGCAGGAGATTAGTCGATGTGAGAGATTGAACCGCGTGTTGTGAGCAAACCTCATCCTCTTCCACCTCTATCTCCTCCTCCTGCTCCTCCCCTTCATTCGATTCTTGAGACTTCTCGTTCGATTGGTTTTGAGGCGCATCCTGAGCTTGGTTTACGGGTACTGCATCGGCAGGATCGTAGAAATCGTCATCGTCATCTTCCATCATCATGTCGAACCGAAATAGAGAAATCTGTGATTGAGAGAAGTGTTGAATGACGAAATCTCGGCCAGTTTACCTCTCTACTGCGGAGATCGAACGGCACGCCGGGTTTGGCATGTTTGCTCTTCAGCTACCAGATCCGTTCTGTATGACAGCCACTACTCAGTCATTGATACTTGCAAGATGCATTCTGATAATGACAATTCGATCATATATGTCTTCCACGACATTAGGTCCTTACGTGTTTGACTGAATTCGATCCACCATATGCGACCTTGATGAACCGTGGTCACGTGTCCCTGTGCCTCCGTCTCTACAACATCAGGATAGATGACTTCTTGAATCTTTGAAAACGACACTAAGTGACACAGTCTTCAATAATACATACATCATGCCTCCTTCCGAACAACAGAGCCATAGCTCCACACCGCGCTCATTTACGAGCCAGACTACCTCCGCAGAAGATCTTCTCAAGTCGCAGACCGTCGGTCTAGTCCATCTTTCCGACTTTCGCAAGCGTCGCGCAGAGGTTCTAGAACAAAAGGAACGAGAGGCACACGACAAGTCACTGGGAAGATTTACATCCGGTACCTCAAGAAGTGCTACCCCTTCAACAGGCGATGTTACTGACGGGTGAGTTAAGGCGCAAGCTTCTTCCTTTCGCTTCCCTGACTGATTGCAATTACCTAGTAACTCGACTCCCCGTAGCGAGGGCCCTCCGAAGAAAAAGAAAAAGAAGCAACTCATGAAAAGCAAACTTTCTTTTGGTGACGACGAAGAGAATGATACCGGTGACGAACCTGTGCCCACTCCTCGCGAAACGAGCGTCCCCCGATCTGCGTCGAGGACTCCTGCGGACGATAGCTCTGCGCAGTCGTCACGGCGCATCACGCCCAACCCCAATGCACCACCTCCTCCGAAAGCGATAACGAAGGCTGCACTAAAGGCAGAAGCAGAGGCGCGTGATGCCCTTCGCAGAGAATTTCTGGCTATGCAGGAGGCGGTGAAAAATACCGAGATCCTCATTCCGTTCATTTTTTACGATGGCACCAATATACCGGCCGGAGCAGTCAAGGTTAGGAAAGGAGACCCGGTATGGTTGTTTATTGACCGTTGTCGCAAAGTCGGTGCCGAGTTAGGCGTCGCAGGTGCTAGCGGAGCAGCAAAGGGAAGGAAAGACAATCGCCGCGAATGGGCCAGAATTAGTGTCGATGACCTTATGCTGGTCAGAGGACAAATAATCATTCCACATGTAAGTGGAACCTGCTTTTGCTCATTGACATGTGCTGATTGACTCTCTAGCACTACGAATTTTACTATTTTATAGCCAATCGAGTGCCCAGCTTCTCAAGTGCTGGTGGGCTATTGTTCGACTACTCCAACGAGCCTCCTCCAGCAGCTTCTAGTGATAATCCACTGTCACGGCCTGATAATGACCAACTAGAAGGTGCCGATAAAGATGCGATGTTGACGAAAGTGGTCGATAGACGGTGGTATGAACGAAACAAGCACATCTTTCCAGCGAGCTTGTGGCGGGAGTACGAGCCGGGGCCCGAGTTTGAAGAGAAAATGCGCTCGACAAGGCGAGATGCTGAAGGAAACACGTTTTTCTTCTGATCTGGCCACTTTTTGGCTATATAGGAATAAGAGCCGTTGTGACCTGAGGGAGCTACGAAACAGTGAGAGGAAAACATATGTATATTCTTTAGATACCCGAACAACCAATCTGGTTTATTCTATCACTGAAGCACATTCTTCTAAGTGAATGTATTGCTGCAAGTATCTTGTCGTCGACAATCTGCGGCACTCTGCAGATGGTACAAGTATTCTGTACAACTTTTGACAAACTTCCTGAACTCTTGCATCCATCAACTACAAGCTTCGACTCTTCGACTATTCTTCTTGTGGTTATTGAAACAACGGACACTTCAATCATGGACTTCTACCTTCGATGCAATGCTCTAAAATGTCGTTCCCAATTGAAGGAGCAAGCAGTCGTCACCACCTGTTCGTAAGTCATCCGTTCTACTGCCCTTTCTTCAGACGTTTTGATCAGTGGCGACGATGGAGACTGACCTGCTCAGGCATATATTTTGTCTTCCCTGCGCAGATACTCTCGGTCTCTCGCGTCCCACCCACGGCGAGCGTCGCTGTCCAGCTTGCCAAACCGTGCTCGTGAATCCGGACGACGCCGCATCGACCGTCCTCAATCCCTCTGAAGACTATAAAACTAGCGTACTGAGTGGACTAGATCCGAACACAATTATGGAATGCGCTAGTCGAGCATTAGTATTCTGGGCTTATCAGACCACGCAGGAGATGTGCGTATTGCTGAGCTTTCCCTATCGATTTCCGCGTCAATTTCCTGACAGGAGACAGATTCTACCAGGAGTATCTTGGAAAGTCGCTTACGGAGAAATACTCAACGCTGAATACACATATGGACAGGGTGATTCATAATGCAAATACGGAGATATCAGCTCTTCAGGCCAAATTGAACGGTTCGTCATTATCAGCAGATCCTCGAGGGGGGACATGAGCTTTTGACTCGAAATATAGACATGCAAACAACAGAAGAGCAGCTTCGCAAAAAGAACCAGGAGCTTGTCGATCTCTACCGAGAAAAGTGCAAGAAGTTCGCTCAGATCACCAACCTGTACAACCTACTCAAGTCTCGTGCTATGAGGTCGCAAATGAAGACCGCTGCGTCGGACACTGTCTCACAAACTTTGAATTTGCTCGGTAACTCGGGAAACGAGCCCTCAGTATCAGGCTTGAGCAGACCGATGGGTGTGTCGCGGCCGCCAGAAACTCCGGCATCTCGTCAGGGCAATCCGCACCCTGTCAGCCTGGAAGGGGTGGAACAGCTACACCGGCATCAGCGGAGCGGAACTGGGAGCTCAAAAGGCGCAAAGCAAAAGGTTGATGCCGCTGCGATGCCACCGCCCACAGTGCCAGTGAACTTGAGAAACCGTATGCCCCTCTCCATCTATTTCCGGTGAGCAAGATATTCTGATAGGTTCAAAGGAAGTCTCCCCAATGCAACTCCACAACAACGAACTCGTCTCCCAGGCCCTGTACGTCCGTCGACTGGAATGTCAAGCTTACCGCAGGACAACGTCATGTTCGAGCGATTTCATGACACCAATATGCCAGGTCGGTACTTGAACAGTGGCAGTGGCTCGCTTAATCGAGATAGTCTGGGTTTCCAGAGGCCTGGTACTGGTACGGCAAATGGAGGGGGAAACAGCACTTCTGTTTTGAGGTCTTCTCTATTTCAGAACACCATTATATAACCTTGCCCTGACAATTCAGGTTCGCCCGTCCACATATCAATCTGTGCATTTCTTCCTCAGACGGGTATGTCGCTCCTTTCGACGCGATGGTTGATCATATATATAGCAAGACAGATGTATAAATTTGTCAGGCGTGATGCTGCCCTTTAGCAGATAGATATTGACTAAGGGTGAAAGAAATTCCAGTATTCATCATACAACAATTTTGCACAGTTTACACCGTGAGTCATGGTTCAGAGTGAACTCAAGAATATTAGACCTTGTTGTATATGCTCACGCCAAGAATGGTACCTCTATTCTTTCAGTAGGGTTATATGTATCCTAGCTTTCCAGATAGAACCCTAATTTCAGTGCATGTTTCAGACAGGCTACCAGGCATCAAGACAATCGACGCCTCACAAGGGTTGAGCATTTAGCTTATGATCTCAGCCTGAGCAACTGGATTGCTCTGTTAATGTTAGCTAAATCTTTCCCCTAGCGAACTACGCTAGCATGTTCATGGGTTCATCTTCCTTTCGCCCGATGAACTTGGCTAGGGGTATTTCCCGCTCTGCAATCACCACCATTTCGACCCAACAGTACCTTGAGAACCATGTAGGTTCATCCTGGAATTCATGATGGCTTCATATACGCAGTTCAGTAGATCAAAACAATCCTTATACATGAAGCCCTGAGCATCATTCCTACGACAATGGTCCATGCCAATTTCCATAGTAAACAAGCTTACAAGTCTATATGCTCTGTGAACATCCACACCATGGATATACCAGAGCCAAACAACTACAACACCTCCAATTGCAAAACAGTAAATCGTAAGATCTCGTTCTACTTGGATCCCATCTCATCACGCTAGATCTTCACTGCAAAGGCCCGTCCCGTAGCCACTCCGACGCAGCGACACAGCGACCCAGACGTCACGTCACTGACTCCTCCACCTCGGGCGTGCGGAAGCGGGAAGCTGAGCTCGTCCAGATGGAAAAGGATTTCCCAATTCCCACACGGCCCTGTCCACAGCCCCCCGATCTAAATGCAGGGCAGGGGGAGCTCCTGTGGAGAATGGCTCTAATTTAGTTTTCAGATCTCTTTAGTGTCTTGTTTAAGCTTATCTTGTCCCCTTGTCTTGTGTTCGAACTTGTAAGGTGTAACAGTTGGTACTGTTACTGTTTGTATGTATGGTGATGATATCACGTGATGATTTCATATCCAGTCCATACTTCTGCGGGTGACGAGAGCCGTTTACTTACCACTACTTATCTTCCATTCTAAGTTGGATTACAGGAATCTAATTTACAGCAGATGTATCATTGAGATCGTTATCATTGGATTAAATCGACTCTCACTGCAGAGACCCATGCCTCGCAATCAACCAAGAATATAGTCTAAGAGAAACAGCTGACTCCAGCACAAATGGATATCCCCTTCTCTTCTTCAACCTGTCAGTGCAGTGTCATCTGTCATACTGCTTGTATGTCCAGTCCTCGCTAGATAAGTAAGGAAAAAAAAAGTTCCGTATCATGCCATGCGTTCAGAACAGAAAAAGGAAAACGAAAAAGTGTAAAAAAGAGTCCGGAGAAATTAATGATTAAAGCAAAGAAAATTTCTTTCCCATTTTTTAAGCAGAACCGAACTCCTTGATATCGGTCTTCTTGCCCAGCAGAGCAAGAGGGACGATACCACTGACGTGCATATCAGGACCGTACACGTGCATTTTAAGACCCAGCTCCTCACCAACGGCCTTGATGTTCTTGAGACCCTCCTGGTAGTTGGGACCAGCACGACGAACCCAGATTTGGACGTTATGCTCGTTGAGAACAGGAGCGACCTCGCGGATCGCACGGATGACACCCTTGAACGTCGAGGCGACGTTGGTGAAGTTGGCAATACCACCACCGATAAAGAGAACCTTTCCGTCAGGGTGCATGGGTGCGCGCAGCATCAAGTCCAGAACGGTCTTGGCGTAGTTGTAGGTCTGAGTCTCGGTGGGMGCMSCGGMATACTCACCGTAGTTGGCGAGCTCGCTGACGAAACCAGCGGAGGCAATGGCATCAGCGTACACGACGGAGGCACCACCACCAGCGACCAGAGTCCAGATACGGCCATTGGCATTGAGCACAGTCAGCTTGAGAGAAGCACCGGTCTTGGCATCCATGTCGGAGATGAACTTCTCCTCCTTGCTCAGCTCACGACCGAAGGGGGCGGGGAACTCCATTGGCGGGCCAGCATCAACGTTGACCTTGCCGTCAGCCTGGGGAACGGTGGCCAGGCCAAGGTTCACAGGGCTGCGGGCAATAGCCCACTTGGTACCGCACTCAAACTCAGCAGTCTGGTCAAGCTTAGCGGCAAGGTCAAGGAAGTGCACCTCCGCGGAGGTACCCTGAGCGTTGGGAATGACAACGAGAGGGTTGATCTCAAGGTAGGTGAACTGGCAGTCAACATAGACGGCGTAGAGGCGGGAGATGAAGTCAACCAGGACATTGTGAACACCCTTGGGCACCTTGCTCAAGAGAGCAGCAGCAATCTCCTCGTTGGAGGGGTAGTTTTTCAGGTTCACGGGGATAAGAAGCTTCTCGGCCTTGGCATCAACATCACCGACGTCCACACCACCCTCGTGGGTGAAGAGAATCCAGTCACCCTACAAAGGTTCATTAGTCTTCGAGAACGTCAGAAATTTGAGGATCGGCAGAGTCGCTTACCTCTCGCACGGAGTTGATGTTGATGTAGTACTCAGTCTCCTGAGGGTGGGGAACGAAAGGCTCAACCAGGAACTGGCGAAGAACACCGGTGACAGTCTCAACCTTGATCTCCTTGCCAGCACGAGCCTCAATCCACTCTCTGGCCTCGGGCCAAGTCTTGTTCAGAGCGAGCAAACCGCTCTTACCCCGTCTCTTGATCAATTGATCTGGCTTAGCGACGAACTTGGCGCCGGGAGTCAGCAGCCAAGGGTAGACAACCTCCGTCTGGTCCAAGACATCCTTCACAGCGGCGTTTTCGGGGAAGTAGATGGAGGCAAGTCTGGGGGGAGGGTTGTGGGTGGCGGAAGGAGGGAGAGGAGTCGGCTTGATGACAGGAGCCCGGGTGAGGTGGTAGTTGAGGATGGCCTTGCCATCAGCTTCGAGAATCGACTTGGCGGACATGATGAATAGAAATGGAGGATTAGATAGGAGGACAAAAAGAGAAGGTCCTGACGATTGAGGTGAGGTTGTATGTAGAGAAGGGGAAGAAGCCCGGATCAAGAGAAGGATAAAACAGAGAGATGGAGAAGAGGAGGGAGAGGATGATACTTCGGTTGCTGAGGTCGGCAAGCAATTCACCCTGCAGGAAGTGATTTATTGAAGTGGGAGAGAAGGAGGGAGAAGATGAAGGTGGATGGATTGAAGAAGAGAGGAGGAGAAAGAGGAGGGGATTCAGTGACCGCGGACGACTGACTTGGAGTCCTCCAAATAAAATAATTGAACAATTCAAGTAAATGCCCGAAAGGACTTTGGGAGGGGGAAAACACAGGCAATATTTTTTTGGGGGGGAGCTGATTCAAAATTACAGAGAGTCAGGTACGGTATTGAGGCCGAACTCGGAAATGACCAGATTTGGAGGGGGACCAGACTCAGAGATACAGAGTACGATACAGCATAGCAGGCTTAGACGCCCAGAGTTGTTGAGATTAGTGGGGAAGAAGGAGGGTGGGTCCTGCTATCTCTTGCACTAAAAGGGACACTAACAGCCAAAAAGAAGTTCCAGGTGTCATCCGCGGACCGATCAAATTTAGCTCCCACCGTCTCCAGGGGGTTTAGAGCTTCCGTTGGGGATACTCGGTAAGGGTATTTAGAGGCAGGACACACCCTACGCTGTAGCCTCAATACTGAATTCCAGCAAAAGGAGGGATCAGACATCGGACGGCAACTCTCGCGGTCATTCGCGCTTCGTGTCCTTTTTTTGTTGGATTATGGAAACCTACCGAATATTTCAAGTTCGTAGGCTGTCTGTGAATTGCTGCGCGAAACCCGGAGTCAATCCCGAGACCGTCTTGATGTCATCAATTGCCTATCAGATCGTTGATAGGATCCATTCATACATGGAGTACACATATAGTACACGTATCAATGATCTATTTACCATGTAGACTTAACAGAAAGGCACATATAAACAACCCCTCTCAAACCTACAATCAAGGAGACTGAATATCACAGGACTACCTAGCTAGATAGATAGTCCATCATGACAACACTGATCTTTCGGTGAGCAGATCATTAGCGTCCGGCGGTTGGAGTCTTAGGGTGGGCTCTCCTGTTTGCTGGGTCCCAATTAGTACAAGAGGATCCACCGCTTAGCCCCAACCAACTAAGGTACAGACTACGGAATACGGAGTTACTTTGGCTTCCTCTGCAGCGTTCTTTTGCCTGTCCGACATCCAGGTACAGAATCTACCGAGTACTCCGCAGTCCGGCTCCATCTTGTTAGGCATACACGATTCTGCTTGACTTCTGAGATGAGGGATATTCCACGCATGACCATGACATGACTGGAAAGGAGGAGTTTCTAAGACGTTCATTCACCCGAGGAGATCGTAAACGAAGTTCGGTGTTGAGATAGATAGGTAGTTACTTGCAACCAGACTCCATGTACCTCTGGAACTGTACACTGGAGGTGATCTAGGAACTCCGCACTTTACGATGCATGGTATCTTCTGTGTATTCATCACCTCGTATCTTGTTGAGGGTGTCTAGAATTAGTTGCCACTCCAGAATCAGCAGATACAGTTCTTCAAAGTTGATCAATTATTTTTAGGCTCAATAATTGCTAGCAAGCAACGCAATTACATTCCAAGTCCCCAACTGGTCCAGTCTTCGACCCATCAAAAACCACCGAGAGCAGCTTGTCGCGGTATTGTACCGATACGGTATCGACCGGAAAAGTAAGCTCCCCCTCAGCTCCCCGATATCGTTGAACCCCTCGTCAGATAATTCAGTTATTTTATTTTAATCAGTTATTGTTAGTTTTTTAGGACGTTCGGTTCTTTTTTTTTTTGTTGATCCCGTCTTTTTTCCAACTTCAGAATAAACCACCCCCCATAATCCCCTTGGATCCCAATCCTCCCCATCTTCTGGCTCTGCTTCATCATTCTCCTCATCCCCTCTTCCTCACTTGTGCATCTTCTCATCCTTCGTGGCTCTTGTTCCTTCCGTGTTGCATTTGACCGTCGAAGCAACTCATTCCCTCTATATCCTCATCTTGTATCTACCTACTTAATAATACCTTCCGTCCCTTTCAAAGCCAACCTCAAAAAGCTCTGTTGACGGGTCTGTCGCCATTCCAAAGTTCCTTGAACGAGCTTGAAAGCGTCATCTCCGTGCTTTTCTGAGCTCCCTGCCTTGCATCCCGCTGCCTTTTCCTGACCTGGTGCTGATCAATTTTTTGAGAAACAGAGTGCTCAGCCATCATGCCCTCATCTGCTCCTCTTGCCGACACCGCCAATGGCGGTCTCAACGCCAACGACAATATCACTCGCTTCGAGCCTCCCAGCCGAGTGCTCTCTCCTTTCACTCACACTCTCTTCCACAACAAGACGAGATGCTTCGTATAGTAAGTGTTTCCTGGCTGCAGACAAGGTCAATGGCTGGGGCTGATGGTTATCACAGCGGTATGCAGCCCAGAGCCGTGCAAGGCATGCTCGACTTCGACTTCATTTGCAAGCGTAGCACACCTTCGGTTGCTGGTATCATCTACACTTTTGGTGGCCAGTTCGTCAGCAAGATGTATGAAGATCCCCTTCATCTGCCACAGTATTTCCATCAACAGCGGCTGACTCTGGAATCGTAGGTACTGGGGTACCAGCGAGACTCTCCTTCCTGTCTACCAGGACGTCGCCAAGGCCATGTCCAAGCACCCTGACGTTGACACCGTTGTGAATTTTGCCTCCTCTCGTTCCGTCTACAGCTCCACCATGGAGTTGATGCAGTGCCCCCAGATTAAGTCCATCGCCATCATCGCCGAGGGAGTTCCCGAGAGAGTATGTCTCGCTTACATTTACCCGCACAGAGTAAAGAGGCTAACAATGGCACCAGCGTGCTCGCGAGATCATGGTTACTGCCAAGGAGAAGGGTATCACCATTATTGGTCCTGCTACCGTTGGTGGTATCAAGCCTGGTGCTTTCAAGATCGGTAACACCGGTGGTATGATGGACAACATTGTTGCTTCCAAGCTCTACCGCAAGGGTTCCGTCGGCTACGTTTCCAAGTCTGGTGGTATGTCCAACGAATTGAACAACATCATCTCTCAGACCACCGATGGTGTCCATGAGGGTATCGCCATTGGTGGTGACCGCTACCCCGGTACCACTTTTATCGACCACCTCCTGCGTTACCAGGCCGATCCTGATTGCAAGATCCTCCTCTTGCTCGGTGAGGTCGGTGGTGTCGAGGAGTACCGTGTCATTGAAGCAGTGAAGAACGGTACCATTACCAAGCCTCTTGTCGCCTGGGCTATCGGTACCTGCGCCAGCATGTTCAAGACTGAGGTTCAGTTCGGTCACGCTGGTGCCTCGGCTAACTCCCAGCTTGAGACCGCTGTGTACAAGAACAAGGCCATGAGGGAGGCCGGTATCCACGTTCCCGACACATTCGAGGAGCTTCCTCAGCTCCTCAAGCAGGTGTACGAGGATCAGGTCAAGAAGGGCATCATCAAGCCCCAGCCCGAACCTCAAGTTCCCAAGATCCCCATCGACTACTCCTGGGCCCAGGAGTTGGGTCTCATCCGTAAGCCCGCTGCCTTCATTTCCACTATCACCGACGACCGTGGCCAGGAGCTCCTGTACGCCGGAATGCCCATTTCCGACGTCTTCAGAGAGGACATTGGCATTGGTGGTGTCATGTCCCTTCTGTGGTTCCGTCGCCGTCTGCCTCCCTATGCCAGCAAGTTTTTGGAGATGGTTCTCATGCTCACTGCTGACCACGGTCCGGCCGTGTCTGGTGCTATGAACACCATTATCACCACCCGTGCGGGCAAGGATCTGATCAGCGCCCTGGTCTCTGGTCTCCTGACAATCGGATCTCGCTTCGGTGGTGCTCTTGACGGTGCTGCTGAGGAGTTTGCCAAGGCCTTCGACAAGGGCATGAGCCCCCGTGACTTTGTTGACACCATGAGAAAGGAGAACAAGCTGAGTAAGTGACATTTCTGAATAACAAACACCCGTCGAGCGATGCTGACCTTTGCATAGTCCCTGGTATTGGCCACAGAGTCAAGTCCCGGAACAACCCTGACCTGCGTGTCGAGTTGGTCAAGGAGTTCGCCAAGAAGCACTTCCCCAGCACCAAGCTCCTCGACTATGCCATCGCTGTCGAGACCGTCACCACCTCCAAGAAGGACAACCTCATTCTGAACGTTGATGGTTGTGTTGCTGTCTGCTTCGTTGACCTGATGCGCAACTGCGGTGCTTTCTCGCCCGAGGAAGTTGAGGAGTACATGAAGATGGGAGTCCTCAATGGTCTCTTTGTCCTTGGCCGCAGCATTGGTCTTATTGCTCACTACCTCGACCAGAAGAGACTGCGCACTGGTCTTTACAGACACCCTTGGGATGACATCACCTACCTGCTCCCCACTTTGCAGAAGGGTGGTGCCGAGGGTCGTGTTGAGGTTAACTTTTAAACTTTCTATTATCTCTTAATATTTTCTCCTTTTCCTTTTCTTGTCATTGCCGAACAGACCCGTGGCAGCCCACTGGATGATTCTGCGGAATTTGCGGTTTGACTCATAAAATCCGTCACGTCGACGTTGGAGTTATGATGGCCTGTATTTTGCATTTGGTTCTGATTCTTCTCGACTTTCGCTATTTTTCGACATTACATTGTGTATTGCGCATATGTGGCATGACTAGCTGATAGGCTAATGAATTCAACGCAAGAATTGAGACAGAACATACAACTAGACATACAGAACCTTTGATGAACTTGACCGCCCAGATTTCTGGCCAGCGTTGCTTTTCACGTACTACAGTATGCCAGATTATCTTACGCCCTTGTGAAATTACCATTGCTCTTTCCAGGTTGGCAATAATGCCTTCAAACCCCGGGGCTCGTGAAGTCGCAGCCCCAGCCTCTACAGACCGCTCTTTGCTCGACAATTGCATAGAGATGGGTTTCTCCTCTCTGTTATGTGAACAGGGTTACATTGAGAAAATAAATTCGTATAGTTGTAGAATATCTCCTGTAATCGAGACGCTGGGACTGTAAAATAGCAGACAATGTCAATACTCTAGTAAGTCGGAATCTAAACTTCCCCACAGGCAATTGGTCCCAGCTCCTGCTATCAAAAGTTTATCTATATCGCGACTCAGCCGCAAGAATTGAAACACCGAATACAATTTCAGAGTTTCCCAACGTTCGAGCTCAGCATAAGGCTTCCCTTCCGATTACTGTAACGGAAGAAAGTACGCATACTCGAAGAACTGGAGGTCCAAGAAACATCAGTAGAGACAAACCGAGATGGTCCGCGTCAAACATCGTTACCTCCTCCTCGACATCCTCTACCCAGAACCCTCCTGCTGGCCCACCTCCTCTACCAGCAAAACGAAATTGCCATCGCATGACGCTCAGCTCCGGATCCACTCGCCCACCTCCGATGCGCTGACCCCAGCCTCACTCGCGAAGATGGTGAGGGAGGAAGTCGCAGAGATTTTCGGCGACTGGGGTGTTGGTCGGTTGGGTGGTGTTGGGGCCGGTGGTGTTAGTGGTGCGTTTTTCTCAAACTCCTTGTGTTTCCTTGATTTGCGTTCGGGTTTTGACAAGAGTGGATAGTCAAGTATTTGTCGCCTGCCACATCGACGGCTATCATCCGGTGTCCGCGCGCATCCTTCCGTCTCGTCTGGACGGCTCTTACGTATATGTCGCAAGTACCGGATTTTAATCATGGTGGAATGAAGAAGGGCGCTCCTGCGGCTGGGGGGAAGATGCGCTCGTGTGTGTTTCGTGTTGTGAAGGTGTCGGGGACGATGAAGAAGGTGGAGGAGGAGGCGATTCGGCGGGCGCGCAGGGAGATCTCGCGGTTGAAGGGGGCGGATGAGATGGGGGTTTTGGAAGGGTTGGTTGGAGGGTTGGAGGGCGGGGAGGCTGCGACTGGTAGTGGTTTGGCTGCTGCCTCTGTGCGAGATGTGGTGGATGAGGACGATGTGGATATGGAGAGTGATGTTGATGAGGATTGACCGGTTTCCATCGGATCGGCGATGTGTGTTTTCTCGTTGCATCATCAGGAGTTTGTGTTTGAGATTGTTTGTTCATTAGAGATACCCTATAATAAATGTACAGATAGACCATAAAATCATGACTTTCGTATCACTTTTACGCTGCTGTCGGGCATCGAGCCTCTAAACTTGGCCAGGTCGGCATCAAACTCATCGTCCTCTCCCGGCGGCGGCTGTGCGGCCTGTTCCCTGGCTTTCGCCTCGGCCTCGAGCTCACTGCGCTCCTGTGCGTCGTACTCATCCTTCGCGTCGAGCCACCGTTCCTGGACGTCTCGGATATCCATGGTCCCTAGTCCTTCCCGAACAGCCACCTGCCAGATAGTGTCGTTTGCGCCCTCGGCTGGTCCGAATGCATATCCACTTGCCCTATCAATAACTCGCAGCAAATTCATCATGCTCTTCTTGTCTTCCACGGCCAGCGTCTCGAACGCCACGAGCCCGAATTCTTCTACCAGGTCGATGATGGCATTGTTGAGGGCACCAAATTTTGCATGCGATAATCGTGATGACTCAGCCTCTAGGTGTGGAAGGAGATATGAAAGGTCCTGGACTTCCGTGTAGAAATCAAGGTTGAAGGGTAGCGGGGCGTAGTTCGAAAGGTTATCGATCTTAGTAAGGACGTTGATGTGAGGCAGATCCATCTGGAGCATGGCGCGGAGGGAGAGAAGGAGAGCGGATATATACATCGACGGTAATGTGAGGTTGTATGAGTCAATGAGATGTATTACGATTAGCTGTAGTATTCGATGTCAGCAGGAAAGCCTGTGCTAAGATAAAGATGAAACTGACTCTATAGCCCAATTTTTGTATTTTGAAGAAAATATTCCGCAACGACGAATGGTGGGTGAAGATTTCAACCTGGCCCGGACAATCAAACAGAACATAATCCTCTATTCAAAAGAGTATCAACTATCGCGCTCTAGGTCGTATAGCAGTAAACTCAAGGATAGGCAGGGCCTACCTCCGAGGTCTTTTAGCCCCTCCTCCAACCATTCAAAGTTCTCCTCCAGTTCCTCCAGTGCGTACAAGACACCACCATTAGGACCTAGTTGATCCTCACTCATAATCTCCTCGAGAGTGACGAGGTCGCGAACATCCAGCGCACACGGATACGATGTCTGGTCATTTGCGGGGTCCAGATTCACGATAGAGCACTTCCGGCCAATAGCTCCCAGGAACTGATGCATACCGTTGCAGTATGTTGACTTCCCCGCGCCCGGGGGCCCTATGACCAGCTGCGCAAAAGGCATTTTGGGCTTCCAGCGAGAGAGATGTGGCAAGGAAGGCAATTCTGGATGGGTTAAGATGCGGCGATGGGGGGAAGGGGAATATGTCAAGGCGGTATAAACGGGCAGAAAACGACCTACAGCGCAAAGCTTCAATGACGCCGGGCGATCAGCAATCTCGATGTAGTTTGGGACTCAAACGGTCACTTCTCAGAAGGATTTAAGCACAATATGGCATCAAGTAAGCTCATTATGAACCGCTACACATGCTAGTACTGACCGCAATCTAGATCAATTCACCGTCGCAAATCCGCCAACAGACGCCATCTCCGCTTTGAAGTTCTCGCCGGATCCGAATTCAACGCGAATTGTCGTTTCATCATGGGACAAGAACGTCTATCTTTATGACCTGCGAGACGAGAATGGGAATGTCGGCGAAGGAAAGCTTTTACAAAAGTTTGAACATCGTGCGCCGGTGCTCGACGCGTGTTTTGGCGAGAATGAGGATGTGATTTACACAGCCGGTTTGGATTGGGATGTCCGAAAGTACGTTTTCCCTCGCCGCTCGGTGCTTTCCTTTGACTGGCTGTCCCTTGTTCCTTTATCTGATATATGGCAGGATTGATGTCACATCATCTACACAGACAGTGCTTAGCAGCCACGACGCTGGGGTCCGGTGTGTCGCCTACAGCAAGGAGCATAACATTGTCATATCTGCGTCGTGGGACTCGACATTACATGTGCACCGTGTGAATACTGAAGCCGACTCGATCCCCGCAATCATTCCTCTCCCTTCAAAGCCTTTCTCCATGTCTCTCACCGCCACGAAACTTGTTGTTGCTATGGCCTCGCGCTCCCTCCACATTTACGACCTGAAAGCATTGGCGCTTCTCACAGACCAGTCAGACGCCACACCTCCGAACAAGGTTGAGATCGAGCCGTGGCAGCGACGAGAGAGCAGTCTCAAATTCATGACCCGCGCTGTCGCGTGCATGCCCGATGATGCCGGCTACGCATCCTCGAGCATTGAGGGACGAGTCGCAGTCGAGTGGTTCGATCCGTCTGCTGAGTCGCAAGCACGGAAATATGCTTTCAAGTGTCATCGACAGACGGCCGATGATGTTGACGTCGTATATCCCGTGAACACACTTGCGTTCCATCCCATACATGGAACATTCGCGTCTGGCGGTGGTGATGGCGTCGTTGCACTTTGGGACGGTATTGCGAAGAGGAGGATCAGGCAGTATCAGAAATACCCGTCAAGTATTGCTGCTGTCGATTTCAGCGGCAATGGAAAGTACTTGGCGATTGCCGTTAGCCCTGGTTTCGAAGACGGAAAAGACGATGTCGCAGAGGGAACAGTCCGAATCTATGTGCGCGAATTGGGTGAGACTGAAGCAAAAGGAAAGGGTGCGAAATAAATTTATACTGATAATTAGAATGCCTTTACTTTATGACTAGCGTGTGGAATTAAATCTGGGTAATAATTACAGTAAAACAAAGCTGTCCATTCTTGATCTTCAGCCTCGGTGAAATTTGACGGCAAGAAGTCATGCACGAAGTTTTATGGTATCATATATGTCTAAGTCGCCTTTTTTGTTGTAATCCACGGTGCGTGAGTATATCCGGATGACCATGCGGGAAGAAGGCTACGAAATGGCCTTCCTGACCGATACTGAGCCGTCGGGCATGCCAAAGTAAACAGCGATGGGCTTCTGGCCCCCAATACCTCCAAGGGCTTGAGCCTGAGGTCCAGTCACGCCGGAGAAGATGCCAACCTCCAGCACGCCTGCAATCATCTTAATCGCCTGCGCCAGGGTATCGACCTCCCAAATTCCACCCTTTCCGCTCCCATCTTTGCCAGCGGCAACGTCAGCCTTGGTGAGCAATGGTGGGAAAGGTGCGTCAATGAGGTAGAAGTCCTGATCCGTCTTCAGGGGTCCCTTGGAGGTGCCGCTGAGCCGAATGGCGGGCTGAATGCTGCCAAGCTCTCGGAGCTTGGTTAGGACACGGGGGGCCGCAATAGGTGCCACCTCAATGGGGATGTATTTCCAATTGGAGAGGAGACGAGACTGGAGTTTGCGCGAGTCTGGACGGGAGTGTTAGTGATGTTTTGTCATTCATTCCGGTTTCCGGCGCAGGACGGCGTGAGTCATCGCTAACCTGCCACGCAGATGAACTCC